ATATGTGTTGTTATTAAATGCAGTTTTCAGATTGTTAGAGTCTTACGGTAAATTCCAGGGCAGGGTCCCGTCTTTCCCCAGCCCCATGTTGTTGCAAACTGCAGCAATGAGGCGAATAGGTTTCCTCTGCACTTTTTCCTGACTTTTCTCCATCTCCAGCAACAGGCGGTGTAAGCAATCCCCACCAGGAAGCAATGGACAGTTTGACAGCGCAGATGTGAGCAAACCTTTTATTGAGCGCACGTTGATCTGTCTCCGCCCACCGAGCGGCTGCTGCTATTGGACGCGGTGCAGCTTTTCTTTGTTTTCTCTGCCTGCATCACAAACACCGTGACGGAGTGGGTCATAAAATGGGCTGTGCTTGCTGGCGATTACACAAGGAAAAAAACTAACAATTCCTTTTCGTTTTATGGAGAAATTGCTGCGCTTTAGAATCAGTAACTTGTCAGTATTTAATCGTTCAAACAATAGAAACATCTGAATCTGGATTAGCTTTGGTACCTTGTTGCAGAAAAACCTGACTTGAATGTGTGTTTTCTTTTTTTTGATTTTGGTTTCAGCTTAAGCTTCTAGACAGGGGCTGGGGGGCCAGGGCCCCTGTTTTGGCCCCTGCACTGAAGACATAACACTCAAAAAAGTTCTAATGATGATCTGCGCTGGAACAGACATGGTTACTAATAGGTCTTTTGGATCTATTTAATTTGTTTTTCTTTAGAAATTCAGTTTTACTAATTATTTAAAAACAATAAGGTGATAGCTTCAGTGGTATTGAGATAGGATCCCAGTTTTCTTCTGATAAATGCGTTTTTCAAAACAAATTTTTACAGCTGAATTTATCAGCTTTTCTTGAGTTCTAATTCAGATTTTATGGAGAACTGTAATTTTAACTTAAATCAAGTCAAAAATATGTAAAATTCCTAAATTATAAATGTATATTGACCTAATAAGATATATAGTTTTAATTAAACTTCCTTGAATAGAAGTTTCACTTCATCCAGATATGTTAATATATTTGAAGCCCTGTTTTTTATTTCATGCTTTTCTGGGCCCCTACGAAAAGATGCTGGCCCCCTTTTGGCCCCCTGGAACACTTGGTCTAGAAACGTCACTGCTAATATGGCATATCCTATCTACAGAAAAAAAGGGCATTTGTTGGAACATCAAAGTATATTTCATTTCCAATATTTAAATAAACAAAACATACAGGGTTCAACTGCTGTCATTGGTCCCACAGCTATAGGATTTTCTGTAACACTGTGGAAACTGTAAGTGTGTGGTTAAGGATGTATTAGGCTTCCATACATATATTCACTTCCATACAGAAAGCGCGTATTCCTATTTTCAGCTACCACAGTATACATGTCAGATTAAATAATACTACTTATACTTCAGCGATAGTATCAAGGTGTTACATTATTGAATCTCTTATACTATATCCGTTGGTTGTGCTGTTTACATCTCTTTGCAGGTGATGAAGCAGATTGAAGATGTTTTATTGTTATTTCCCTTTTATCTCCTCTTTCTTTAATCTTTTCTCCTTTTTTTCCTTTCCTGTTCTACTTACATTGCAGTGTCTATATAATCTGTAAATCTCCCTGCATAATTACAATAAAGCTATTTACATACATAAATCAAGCGGAACACTTTGGCGATAGCCGTACTGTTCCACTTGTGAAAATAAAATCTGTTAGGCTCCTTTTTGGCATCAAGACAATTATTCTTATTGCCACATCGCCAGACAGGACAGTGTAACAAAAGGGGGGGGGGGCCCTTTCACTTCTTAAAGTCCTTGGACCTTAGTGCATGAGGTTTTTGACCTCTATGCACAGCTAGCAGGAATTTTGAAAAAAAAAAATCAGGTTGACTAAACCAGTAAACATAAAATTAGAGATCATGGGGTTGTTTAGAAAAGTTGCGAACTTATTTAGGGATGATATATCTATTGATAACCATGCTTAAGATTCAAATTGTTTTAAAACCTGAAGAAACACCTACTGTACACTTAAATGTCCATATATGCAAGATACTGAACTACGATGATTTTCTGACAATGTGGATTGGTGTTTAACAAGTCAAAATGGCTAACACTATGCTTATTTAAAAACTATGGATTTTTTTTATACTCCAATGTATTTGTCATGAACAGATATGTAGTATTAAATAATTAATATCAGCTTCATTATTCTATAATAGTATCAGAAAAAAAGTTTGAGTATATTTAGTATTTGTGTGGTTTAAAATAGTTTTTAAATATTTATTTTTCGGTTAATTTGGGAACTTTTTTTGCAGTGAAACTCCAATCTGATCAGTTGATGCAGGGTAGGCAGATTTGTTTGAAAGTCTGCTGCATTTCACATATCTTAAAGATCCACTTTATTGTTTTATGGAGACTTTTAAAGTTCTAGAGAGGCTTTGCAGAACCATTTCATTTAAATGGCAAACTTCTTCATTTTCCTTAGATAAGCTGAAAAGTTGAAGTATTATAGAAAAAAGACAGAAGATAATAATTTATTTCATCTTTTATTGTCATATCAAAATATTTAAAACAAGGTCATTAATTATACAAAACACATTTAAAATCACTGAGGTGATACAATAACATATTATATTAGAACTTCAACACTTTGGTAACATTACTCATAGACTAATATTAATGAAACGAAATAACAGAATGTACAAAAACAGAAAATAAGTTCCAAATATTCATAAAACAATATTAAATGGCTTCTAATGTTTCACTGTTCATCCGACCTTCAAGAAAAGAAGAACCAACTTGTCCTAAATGAGAACTCTATATTGTTCATTGTTGAGGTCAAACAGTTGTTTTATGATATAACAGAATGCTTTACTCCCCTTGTGGATGTCAGTGAGAAAAGAGGCTTGATTACCAAGTTTTTAATGTAAGCAGATACACTCTGCTGGAAGACAACAGGCTGCTTCAAATAAAAAAAAAAAAAAAAATAATAATAATTTGTACGATTTGGTTTCAGATGTATTACAGTTTTATCACATTGTACCTGAGAGCTGTAACAGGTCTTATCCTGTGAGGAACACACGTTAAAATCGACAAGCTAATCAGTGATCACATGTTTAAATGTTTCTATATGAAAGATAAACCAAAGTCAGAAATACTGAACAGTACCAGAAGGTTAACCATCTTATCCATCGTTATTTGGTGGAAGTTAATCATTGCTACCTGAGGACATTGAACACAACGCATGTGCCTTTCCCAAACTACTTGCGCTGCTTCCACGATTTGAAGCTGCATTCAGGTTCTGTCTTTTCATGGTGGCGCTTCAGCGTCGACTGTCTCCTTTCTACTTTCAAAGAGAAGAGACACAAGAGGATTTCAGTCACATTAGCAAACAGCTTTCATGAAAGAACATGGCTTTTAGAGCCTGTTGTTGAATCAAATCTGAGGTCATTTAACTGTTCTTGTGTTTTTTAATGTCAGTGCACCAGAGGGTTAGTGATGCTCCACAATAACCAGTATTCATCCTCCACTTGTAAACAGCAGCTCTGCAGGCAACATGTCAGATGCTGGGTGTCATGCTTAAGTCTCATGGTTATTAAATTTAGCTTTCTTGAACACGTTGAGGATTGTTATGTAAAGCGTCTAGTGTACTGAGAGCACAACTTCATTTTCATCTTAAATCCGTACCTGTTTGGGATGTTTCCTCCTGCGAGGGATGGATTTCAAAGAACCCTTTTTGATAATGAGCAGACCCAGTACTGACATCTCCAATGCTGCTATTGCTGTTGGGATTTGCTGGCACAGTTGCAAGGAGCCCTAAGACATAAACAGAACATTTGTTAACAAAAAAAAATAAATTATAAAAACTACATTCTCCTACTAATAATACTGAAGTAATTTTTTAACCTGGTATGCAAAAACACCCTAGAGTTGAGGCATCACCTTAATGTAACATGGGTTTTATGTTTTACTAGCGGCAGTAAAAACAAACTGACCTTAAGAATAAAGATAGTTATCCATGAAAAAAGTGTTTCTAATCTCTAAAATTTTTAGCTGGTTGTACTACAACCAGAAAATCAGGTGTAAACATTCCACTTAAATCACCAACAGAGAGCACAACCATGCGTAAAAAAGGACCAAACATCATTTTCCTGTTATGTTGACCATAAGCTACATAAGTAGTACAACAGATGTATTTATAAGAAGGTTTCCACGCAGATGACACCAACCATATTTACGCGACTGTGGTTTGAACCTGATTTCCTGGAATACTTTTATCTATAGGCTTTTTAATGTGCATTTTCACAGTGGTAACCAAACAACCAGGACTTTTATGGAGAGGATGTCTCCTGACACAGACTGGTTCCTCCTCCTGCTGATGCTTTCTGGGAGCACAGTTCTCGTCCCAATCAAGCACAGAACCATTAAAAACAGTGGAGTCAGATAAAAATGGCATTAATGTCTAGTTTCATAGCAGTTACAGTAAAACAGCAATGTAATGCCAAATCCTCTGCTAGTTCTCACAGCTCAGGCTCGTATTTGACAAGTTGTTTTTTTTGTTTGTTTTTTTTACTTTTTTCACTTTACGCGGAGTTGCCATTGGTGTCTAAGTAGAGCTGGATGCTGGTCACTCTCGTGGTAGTCCGACTGATATGACTGAGTTGAGTTCGACATTATCAATCATTCCAAAAAAAATGAAAATACAATAGAATTTGTTTCCAAGTTTGATAGCATTTCGCTCCCAATCCAGAAAGCTTTTTCAATTAAAAGAAAAACGTCTTTGAACTTGGAAACAAAGTCCAAGATGCTATGAATCAAGATGCTATGACCGAAAACATTTGATTGACAGTTGACCGTTGATATATGATTGGCCGAATTTAGGTGTACAGGCTGACATATAACTAACTGGCCTGCATAAGCAAGAATACCCCCCCCCCCCATTTAAATAGAAATGTTTGAAATTTTGGGACAAGATAGTCTGATAAAGAGAACATTTATATACATGTTTAAGCAAGAATTATTTGACATTTAATTATGACTTCCCTACCACTTTAAAATTGAAAACTTGTGAGACAGTAGAAATAGCATGTATAATCCACTAAAATTTAATGCAGATGGATGAGCTCCAATCCTGAAAAGTTTTGCTTTGTTTGGTATTCAAGTACCAAAAAATTGCAGCAACAAAAAAAACTAGCTACCCTCAAGGAACAGTGGTTGCTTGGTTTGGTTGCAACAGTAGAAATCGAAGAAAAGAAAAAGAAAAAAACGTCCCTAGTTCCTGAAAACTGTTCCTGCAGTGGGAAATCACCTTCACACTAAACATCAGTGTCAACACCCATCACTACGGTGGCACATGTGTGCAATGGGCAGGCTTTCCCTTGGTAGGGAAGAGAACTGGTCAGGATATATGGGTAGACAAAGGGAGCCAAACAAAAGCTAACACTGGGAAAACTATCTGTAAAGGCTGTAAAGATTTTAAACAAAGGTGGGGGTCCAATTTGCAGATGAACATAAAGTCACAGCTCCAATTGGATGCTTTAGATCAAAGCATATTTATATATTCCAGATGTAGCTCAAACTCAGTAATCTGTGTTGAGAGTAAGAAAACCAAAGAATCCATCAAATCTGGTCCATCCTATCACATTTTTAACTGTTTTGTCAATAGTAAATAAAAAGAAAAGATACATTTTTAAAGCAGTTAATAGGAAAAAGGTTGTTTGACAAAATATCTTCTCTGGGAGACTAAAAACAAATATGCTTTATAAATGTTATTTGTAAAAAAAAAAATCAAAAACTATGTACATTTATCCTTTCGTCAATTGTATAAAATTGCAATACATAATTTAAAGTGAGTGGTTGTGCTGGGAAAAGAGGGCACCATTTAGGATAAATTAGACAAAATTATTTAACAATCATTTACCTAGTCCTTTGTAACAGGACAGCTGTTGGTAAATCTGCTTCATCCTCTCTATGTTGACGCGACTGCTCTCGCCATGGTTTACCATGGGTTTGGGGTAGTTGGTCCCTATGATGCACTTGGCTGCCTTCTGCACTTCCTCGGGGGCATTCCAAGGATCGTAGATGTATTTGGCAGGGAAACCTCTCAATACTGGCAAATAGCGCCTAGAAAAAAAAAAAGAATGTGAAAAATAAACCTGGGAACAGGTCACCCTTTCTTTCAGTGAGATATTGAGGAAACATTCTTAAATTAAAACCTCATAAAACTTTACTCTTCTATTTTTAAAACCTCAATCAGACCTTCTGACTTTCTTTCTCCCATGTGAGGGTTTGAAAAAGCACAAGTTAACCATGAGATTCTAGTTTCACTGTTAAATGTGTGCAAAAAAAAAAAAAAAAAAAAAAAAACACAGATTATGAAAGACTTTTATTTTTTTTGAGTGGGAGGCATGTGAGGCACATGAAAGCAGCTACTGACCGTATGTAGTCGCCACCGGGGTCTGTGCGTCTACCAAATCCCACGGGACAATAGCAATGGAAAAACTGCTGGAAAAACGAACTGCAAGAAAGCCACATCCAACTGCCGGCGTTTACACTCCAGTCTGCGTCGAGCAAGAGCTCCTCAAAGACCTGCATACAAACAAACCCACTTCACAACTTGGATCACTACTTAGATTACTTCCAACATTTTAGGTGCATCTTACAACCTATTGTGATATTAAATGTGATTTATGGCTGCAGTATCCTAATTCCATACAGGCTTCATCTCATGATTATGGCCAATAGTAACACAGAAAACAATTACAGTGACAAAACTGTTCAAAACAGAAAATGCATTCAGCTTTTTAAACATATGCAGGTTTTCCTCTTATATACGCATGGGCAAAAAACAGAAATACATACATCCACTGAAATATTTGGTAAAAACCAGACTTTTTGTCGCCATCATCAAGCATTTCTAGCTATTTAGGCAGTGGAAGGCAGGATAATTATACCAAAACATGGCACTATGGTAATAAAAAACAAGTAACAGCAAGAGAGGAAAACTCTATTGCAGTAGCAGCAGTTTAAGCCTCTGAGTGCACTATAAGAAAAATATTGCAGAACTGAAGTCCACATGAAAATGTAAAACATCATTATCGGCATCCCATAGGCCCAGTTTTTACAGGTTATCAGCAAAACAGTTGATTTAGGGGAGAGTTAGACTCAAGTTACTGAAAAGCCTTGAAATTCACCATACAGGGACTTTATAGACTCCATTTAATTCAGTATAGGTACCAAAAGCCGAATAGCTTAAAGTTAATTTTTAGCTGTTGTACCAAAAGCTTGTTGGTGTCACAATGTGTTGTGTGTTTTGATTTTGAGCTTTTATGATCATTTAAACAGTTTGTTGGAAACAGCTTGAGTGGATTATTATTGAAACAACTGAGGTTTTATTCTATAAAGGCATTTCATCCATGGAACACAATATTTTAAATGCCCCAAAATATTATGTTTATTCCCATAATGACTGCATATTAATTTCAAAAAAGGTTAAAAAACAATCAACTGGACTTTGTTTTCCAAGTTTTAAGACGTTTCACTTCCCATCCAGGAAGTCAACAACTCCCCATTACTAAGAGAAGGGCCTGTTCTTCTGGTTAAATATGCATGTTTTCTAAGCCCAAACAAAGCTTTGTATTGGCTCCTCGATAAAGCTTGGAACTCATTGCTAATTCTTAAGGCTGATTTATACTTTGTAACTAGGTCGTCTGCATCGGTGTCTCAGTGAACAAAAAGAAGTCCCGCCCCCTCCCGAGACACTCTGCCGCACCTCTTCCAAATTGCAGGTGAGCGCAGACAGTGCCGAAGACAGGAGGCCGGCTTGTTTTGTTTTTATGACCGACATTGCGGAAAACGACTCGTGAAGTTTGACCAGCTAGAAGATCGAGGTGCGCGAGAACGCTGGGACCTTTTTTCCACCTGGATCCCCGCTCTGTTTCGCCGTCATGTCCCTCCATTGTCAGACAAACTCGCCCCCACTTCCTCACCGCCTCGACTGTATCTAGACCCACAGCGTATAGCGCAGACCACGCTTCAAAATTGAGCATAAAACCAAAATGTCTGCGTCAAGCTTACTGCGACACATTTTGACAGTTTGAATTGAAAAAGCTTCCTGGATGGGAAGTGAAACGTCATCAAACTTGGAAAACAAAGTTCAGTGGATTGTTTTTTTTTACTTTTTTGGAAGGACTATGACCTGAATGACTGAGAATCATCACCAGCAGGCAGCATATAAACCTTAGACAGGAACTGACATTTTTTCCAACTGCTCCTCCTATATTCTTACTTTCATGCCTTCTTCCCAGCTGATCCAGAGGTCTCCCCTTGTGAGGAAACAGGCCACTGCATGCCTGGCCAAATGATGAATCCACCCCTCCTGCCTCAGTTGGGTCATTATAGCGTCAATCCAGGGATAACCTGTTCGTCCCTCTGCCCACTTGGCCAGTGCTTCCGGGTTTCGGTCCCAGGGGATTTGAAGACACACAGGGTTTCCCTCCATCTTGTCAAAGCAGGGATTGTTGGTGGCTGTTGTGTAGAAGAATTCCCTCCATAATAGTTGTCCATAGAGGGACAAAGGTGGGTTGCTGTTTTTCTTTACCTGAATAAATAATAGACAAGCTTATTTGGTATAATTACGTATTTATGTGTTAACAGAGCATGAATTAACCTGATAACAATTAAAAAGCAATTTATCAGAATTAAAGAGCATTTCTTTCTTTTTTTTATCTTGCATGATAATTGTTACCTTTTTATAAAGGTCAGTGAGCCTGAAGTAAAAGTGGCGGCAGGAGAGACACCCGAAGCGCAGGTAAGGGCTGAGGCCTGTAGGGGTAGCTAACAGAGAGTTGGAGTTCATTCTTGGACGTTCGAAGTTTGCCACCCAAGCCTGCAAAAAACATTTTGGAAATGGTATCTTTAGCAACAGCTATTGCCGTTTTCCAAAGGAACAGAAGTTATTTGAATAAATTACAACCATATTAGTTTATGTTAGTTTATTATAACCACATTAGTTTATGTTTTGCTGCTAGTCAAAACAGAAAGTAAAAGCAAAAAAGTATTCATTTTGTAAAAGTGCCGTATTTTTCGGACTAAACGTTGCTCCAGATTTTAAGTCGCATCAGCCAAAGAAGACATTATGAAGACGAAAAAACATAAACGTCACACTGGACTAACAGTTGCACCTTTTTGAAAAGTTATTCTATGCATGGAATCCGTGTTCTGATAACTAGTGCATGGTAGGCTACTGCTCGAAGACCGCATTGTTTTATTTCATGAACGAACATCTGAGAAGCAGTAATAATGCGGCAGTTGCCCTGTCTACTTTAATTAATACCATCACTACCGTTGTAGGCGTACATGTAAAAAGCCTATTGTACAGGCCTATTTCATAGCCTAATTTACACTTCTAATCTGTTTTTTTTTTGTTTAATAAAGTTTTTTCTTTCCGTGGTATTACGGGTAATAGAATACATGTTGTTGCATGCAAACTAAATAGCGCCCTCTCATGGTGAAAAAACAAAACAAAACGTATATGTCGCACCAGAGTATAAGTCGCATGGCCAGCCAAACCATGAAAAAAGTGCGAGTTATAGTCAAAAAAATATGGTAATAGCCTTTAAAACTGTACAAATCCAGTTCCACCAGAATTTACATGCTGTGGGGTTTTTATTTATCTATCAGAGAAATTTATCTCCTAACTTAATGTTTTCTGTTTGCCTTAAATCTGCTCATAAACTTCACAGCCCTAATGAATTTTAGCTTCTTCAAATGTGAGGACAAAAGTTTGTTTCTCCCTCACTGAGAAACAACTTTCAAGATAGTGTTATTGATGTATTGAGATGCATAACGATCATGCCAAGATGTGATTCAAATTTGGCAGATTTTATAACAGGTATCAATTTTATATATTAGATACAAAGATCACACTGAGCCTGGTTCTGCTGGAGGTTTCTTCCTGTTAAAAGGAAGTTTTAACAGGAAAATGTTTGGTAATGATCTCCTTTCTATCTCTTCTTTCTTTCATCTTTTCTCTTTTTTTTCTTTTTTCCTTTTCTTCTTCTGTTTTTCTGCTCTATTTACATTGCAGTGTCCATATAAACTGTAAACCTCCCTGCATAATTATAATAAAACAATTTATATGCATGAAACAAGTGTAGCAGTATGGCAATTGCCATACTGCTACACTTGTGAAAGTAAAATCTGTTGGGTTCTTTTTGGCATCAAGACAATTATTCTTATTGCCACATTGCCAGGCAGGACACTGTTAAAAAAAAAAAAAAAGGAAGTTTTCCTCTCCACTGTTGCTACAAGCATGCTTAGTGTGAGGGATTGCCTTAGAGTCAATGAGTCGATACTATCAACTGGTTTTCCTTAGATGATCTGGTTGATTTGTAAAGTGCATTGAGATCACATGTGTTGTGAATTGGCGCTATGTAAATAAACTAAATTCAATCAGGCAGGAAAACAAGAAAAAGGTGTTTTTAATGTTATATGACCAAATGTCAACAAGCTAAGGAAGTTATCATCTGTTATCAAACTAGCCCAGCTTAAGGCACAAACATATAACCGAAAAGGAGTAGAAATTTAAATCCCGCTTAAAAAAAAATAAAACAAATCTTTCAACCCACTGAAAATACAGCATAGTAATTTAGTTATAGGCAGATTTAGAACTAATACAAAGATCATTTAAATCACTAACCAGAAAGAAAGATAGCAAAATATTTGCCTTATATTTACAGGTCAGAATAGCTCATGTTAACACTGAAAAAATTGATGTCTTTGGATCAGTACGGTCCATTTTTTTTTACCTTCCTCTCCAGATGCCGTTCTAACCTCTTGAGGGCTTCTGTTTCTCCTCCAGGCCAAATAGCTGTGCTGAGACCCTCAGTCTCAAAACCTGAAAGACGAACACGGTTGTTAGTTCATGACAAAAACACTGAGGTGAGATTAGCTAGATTATCATACAGGGTATATAACCAGTTTAATCTTTCCAGCATCCAGGAGCTCAACATACTGGTGTATTTCAGGCTGACTAATAAATCACAGCTATTAATCTTGAGCAGGACGCCCTGCATTATAAAAGAAAAACGAATATTATAATAAAAAACTGAATTAATTGTTGCAATCAAAATAAGGAGGAAGGCTTTAAAGGCTTAAATGTCATCATTGAGTGTTTAGATTAATGCTCTGAAACTATAGTTCATGTCGGAGGCATAAGAATTTTCTACTTCATGCTAAAAAAGGCTTTGGTCTTCAAAATTCCCAGTCATAAAATAATATGTAATAAAATTTCTATGCCAGTAGCACACTCTGGCTTATGGTATTTGATTTAAATTTTAATCGTTGTTTTTTCTCAATTTGTTATGAAACACAGGCTTTTGAGTATTTACCACAACAGGATCACATAACCTGAGGTCTTATATCATGCATGCAGGCAATAAGTGAACAAGGATATAAAGAAGCACAGCATCCCTCAGCCGAGGTGTGAAAAGAAACAGGAAAAGTCTAAGATTGTGTGTGAAAAAGCCATATAAAAATATTTGATGTTAAGAATTACAAGACGCAAGTAGCATTTGGAGCACAATATGAACATTGTAGTTTAATTAGGCGGGAGCTAAAGGTATGTTATCCAAAGGTGCGGGAGCCAACGGTGTGGTAGCTAAAGGTGCGTTAACCAGCACGTTTATTGATGCATAAGTACCGCCAGCAGAATACGATGATGTATAACAATGTTTATACCTACTGATAACAACTAGTGCAAAACTTCAAAAGGGACAACGTAAACACTAGCAGGACAAATACTTGCCATGTATTGTTATTCTAACATTAGCATATATTTTTTTGGTATACTCATATTACGTAGTCCCTTTTAAAGGTTAATTTTTTATTCCATCTAAGGCAGAGGTGTCAAACTGGTTCCAAAAAAAGGCCGTGTGGCTGCAGGTTTTCTTTCCAACCAAGCAATAGCACACCAGACTCCAGGCATCTCATCAAGTGAGTCCAGTCTTAACATGACTTGATGAGATGAATGGAGTCTGTTGAGCTATTGCTTGGAGTCTGTCGTGCTATTGCTTGGTTGGAAAGAAAACCTGCAGCCACACAGCCGTTTTTGAAACTAGTTTGACATCCCCGATCTAAGGTCTATGGGAAAAATAAGAAATATAAAAATTTTAAGTCATGCAAATACTTTCGGTGTTTAAAAACAAAAACAGATATTTGACCCACTTCAAATTTGTTTGCATTTGGAGTCACTTTTAGATATTTCATTAACGTCAAAGGAGGCCAGACAGGAGTTGGTAAATGTTTTTGTGTAGCCCTTTAAACATGCACTACTGCTGAAAAACACTGAAACATGAAGTTGTCTTAGAAAAAGTCTGCTTATAAAACTGTTTAAACATCAAAATGCCCCCTTAACTAGGTACTGACTGTTTTAGCACAATGGCTGAAAAAATATTAGCTCTGTTAATTAGATAAACATGACTTCTCTAATTGTTTTATAACAACATTGAACAAAAAAAAACAACATAATAATAAAAATCTCACCAAGCTCCTCCAGGGATGGAACTCCAAACTTATCATCATGATCATCAGTAACAAGAGTGATACAGTTTTTCAGCATTTCCGATGAGATAGTCTCTGCAGGCTGTTCCACATCATCCATTCGGTTAATTAGACCCTGGAAGCGCTTATATGTAACAGGAGGCTGACCACCATTTACTTCTATAATCCTTTAGGAGACAAAGGAAGCCCTTAGTTTCACAGACATTATATAATGGGTGGTTTCAGACGATGTCAGAATGAATAATCTAGATTAACTCACTCGTCTAGATTATAGAGAGTGTGTGAGATCCGCACAATGACCTCTACACCCGCCTCACTGGCCAGTTTCTGGATGGCAGCATCACGGTCCTTTCCAAACGGCTCAGAATCGTACTCATAGGATAACTGTGTGATATTCCATTCCTAAAAAGCATGGATCACACAAATACAGAGAAACAAAAACATTCAGTTTCACAGAACAGGAATTTATGAATTAATGCCAGATTGAAATGTAATAAAAATATGTTATTCTTCAATAAATGGCCACGGGGAGGCATTGTTTACAATAACATATAACACATTGCTTTTCAAAACATGAGTGTACAGCACTAAAATCTGCTTGTTTAACACAGCCTTCAGTTAACATTACATTTATACCAATAAGAGAAATTAACATTTTAAGGAGTCCTACTTTTATCACAATGGCTGGCAAACTACTCATCACCATAACAGAGAATAATGAAGAGCAGCATTCAAACAAAATTTAGAATCATCCTAAATGTATAATTTTTGATGGAAAATATAATCAGTTACATTTTCCTTAATCAATACAATACAGTAGCGCTTGAAAGTTTACATATCCCTCCTTTGAAGAGAGAAAAACATCATAGTTTGAATTCTGAAGTGAGCCAGGAGGCGCATCTTAAGTCTTTCTTCGCTTTCATACCTTGAAAAGACGAGGGAAGACATCTGTGGGCTGGCCTCTGATGACAAACAAACGGGAGTTGAGTTTCCGCAAGCTTGCATCCAAATCCTCTAAACAGTGCAGCAAAAACCTGAGAAAACAGAAGAGCAGGTGTTAATAAATACCAGACAAAGAGATTGGGTATTCCACAGCTGTAGCAGACATTTATTTTTCCGATTGTCACACAGCTCACATCAAGGAAAATGACCCACCCCCATGTTTGTAAGGGATGCAACTGCTACTTCTCTGAGGGTCTTTTCCTTAAAAATGTGGTTGAAACTATTCTTTTTAAAGTGAATGGAATATAAATAATTTTGTTAACTTTCTTTAACAGACTTCACAGAACATGTATTTCTTAGAAACGTTATGCCAAATGTGCCTCTGGCTGAAAACAAAAACACACAGAACTGACTGTGAAACCACACAGTATGACTCAGCAGGAAAACTGTGGATTGATATAGAAGTTTTTAAGTTAAATAAATCACCCCCCCCCAGTCATAATTGAAAAATTACAGTACTATTCAAAAGTTTATTTATATCAGCAACTCAATTTAGCTTGTGAAATAGATTACATAGAGTTAGTAAACACGGACTGTGTTTAGCTTTCCTTTCTGCTTATTAAGATGATCAAAAAGTATGTTTAATACCAGCTTAAAGGTTACTTATAAAAAAGTTATTACCAAACCTCATCATAACACATATTCTATGATATTGAATATGACTGAATAAAAGTTAACATTTTATCTTGAATCAAATCAAAAATAATGAATGAATCAAAAATATTCCTTAAATGCGATGATGTACTTTAGTGTCCTTTCATTGGTCGATCTGGGTTGTGGAACATCCTATTCATTATCATGACTCTGGTCCAAAATTCAGGTTTGGCCTGAGGTAATTATTAGGGTTCTTATCCTTTTATTATTACTTCAATTATTAATTATATTATGAACCACAACTTTTTTTAATTTATTTATTTATTTTTTTTTTTTTTACGGCACTAGTTGCTAGGAGGAGAGACATGTGGGAAAGGACCACAGGCCAGATTCGAACCCATCACATCAGGGTCCGCGTCGAGGAATAAGGCCTCCGTACATGGGTCATTATTTTTTAATCAGACGTACACACACAGGTCTATAGTACTTCCAAAAATGTGCATCTTTCAAAAATATAATTTTCATTCAAAAAATACTTTCAGGGCCAACAGCAGTCTGCCCTCTGTACTAATATACTGGACTCAATCTTCCATTGCAATAAAGCTAAAATATACAAAAGTCATATTGTTGCATTGAATCTCATTTCTAACAGCATTGAGAGAAAATGTATAACGTGAAATAAGGGAAACAAAAAAGAAAAGTTTTAATTATGCTCTCTTTGGGTACAGAACTTTGAGTTATCTTATTACTAAAATCGGCTAAATAAATTAACTTGCCTTGCCTAGAAAGAAAACACAGAAAAGCTTAGTTAATTCATGTGTAATTGTAGTTTAAAGCTATGATTACCAATGCAATGAGCATAACGGCACACTGACACGGTCTTAGAGCCTTTCATTAAATCTCAACTGCAACTGTGAATCCTGCAATTAGATTGCAAACTCAAGTGCCTGCCCTGAAGCCTTACCAAAGGAGTTTGCTGCTTGTTTCCAGATAACATTCATTCACATGAAATCAAAGTTAAAAAAATTTACTTAGGAATGTGCACCAAAACATCACATGGCTTCAACGCAAACGTATCACATTGCCAGATTAACCCCACACTTTGCATACTGAACATGATGTATTGAAGATAACTTTTATTTGTCAACCAGGGAAATGCAAATCACATGGATGTTTACAATGTACTTTTCGACAAGCTTACTGCAATCATCTATTTTTAAATTTAAGTAAAAGAAATTATTGTCAAAATGTACTTTAAAAAAACTAAGATCAAAATATCCAAAAATGTTTAATGTAAAGCACATTTGAGTCACACAGATGAGTAATATTTCAGATCACACCAGCATGTCCATTTCTGAATAGGTAGAAAAACAAGTAGGAAAAAAGAAAGTCTTTAAGTAGCCTAAACAAAGTGTTCGCCTGACACAACTCCCCCACATAACTTTGTGCATCTGCTGAATGAGTCTGAGGTATTACAGGTGCAGCTTCTCTGCATCAGTTATTAGCTTATTTTTTTAACTTGCTGCACTGCTGATTCCTTATGGTTTAGATTACTACCTTGCTC